AAGTTCGTATTAAAATATATCTAGATGTGAAACATTGCTTTTCCATGTCCTTTGCAAGTGGATGGATTTTTGGAAAAAAACCCAAATGAACAAATAAATAAGAACAACACTTCTGCAGGGGTGAGTAGAAAGCAGAAAGGAGGCAGAAACAGTCTTGTCCTCACCCCACAACCTCTCTCATTCCTGCCAAACCAGCTCTTGGTGTGCCAGGGTGAGTCTTCACCAAAAATTGACTCTTGTTCCCTAAAACCTTCCAACACAATTTCACTGGCCCTAGTGCATTTGTAAAAAGTTTTTGTTTCAGAAATAAATACAGAAATAATTTCAGGCAAGAAAAAGAAGACAAAAGAAAAAAAAAACTATTTTGGGGGCACGTTCTGAGCTAAAGGTAATGATGCATTTATTCCCTTCTGCTCCGGGAAAAGTTTATTTTGCTGCTGTTATATTTAAATTAGACAGTTTGGAGGGATGGTTCAGGGAATTAAACTTTCATCTGTAGTCTACTAGTTCACATTCAGCCCAAACAACATGCTGTGTTCCCTGGGCAGTTTCCAGCTGACAATTTTTTCATTGCAAACCCACAAGTAAGAATTGCCAGCTGTGTTCAAAACCGAGCAGACAGCGTAAGTCCTGCCTGGGCCCCGAGGGCTGGGGAAAACTACCTCGCCCTGACCCTGCAGAGCAGTCCCAAACCTGCCCATACGCAATATGCCAGAAGCATGTCCAAAAGGCAGCATGAGGGATTTGCTCCGTAACAGCCTACCCTGTAAGCTTCAGTTGCTGGAGTTGGCAGTGATCTCCACCAACAATAACAAAAATAAATATGAAAGTGCAGTCTCCTGTGATTTGCTGTATGAGGATTTAGTTTGTGTGGCTTTTTGAGAAATTAAACTGTGTCTTGCATCACATTGCCAGCCTGAGGTGTCAGAGAAAAGTCTCTTTAAATTGTCAAAATATATAGAAGGGAAGAGTCCTCTGAGAAACCAAGCTAAATATGCCCACTCCCATGGGGTGGGAATCATTTGAGTTATGCACAGTTTAGTACAACTTTCTACTTACTTGGATTTGCCCCAGGTTGAGTGTGAAGCACAGAGCCAGGTTTGAGCCAGTGCCTGAGCCTCCAGCTCCACAGCAAAATGTGTAAAATTTCTGTAATCTCCACTGCTCAGACTAATTCTGACTATCTGGCTGGCCCAGTGGCCATGTTGTTATTAGTTTCCAACTGCTGTCTGCGCTCTGTGACCCCAGCAAGGGAAACAACAGAGTTCACAACAGGAGTTAATGACACTTTATGCAACATTAACTTTCCCCTGCAATTTCCTGTGGATCTTCCATACTACTTTTGGGTAGCAACTTGCCCACTGCTCAGACTAATTCTGACTATCTGGCTGGCCCAGTGGCCATGTTGTTATTAGTTTCCAACTGCTGTCTGCGCTCTGTGACCCCAGCAAGGGAAACAACAGAGTTCACAACAGGAGTTAATGACACTTTATGCAACATTAACTTTCCCCTGCAATTTCCTGTGGATCTTCCATACTACTTTTGGGTAGCAACTTGCTTCATGTGGCTCTTCGCTGGCTCGTTTCTTCGTACATGTCCAACGTTGGCAATATGGATTGTCTATGAAACAGAACAGAGTGCAGTGGCTATGGAAATATCACAGTTACTTGCATTACTCTCCCTTTATAAACAGGAATATATGTATCACTACTAGTTATGCTAAATGACAACTTTTAAGTTCTCCCTTTAAAAAGGCTTTGCATTATGTAAAAGTGTCTTTTAGACATGAGTAAAGCTCTAGATTCTTATGTATATTGAACAAAACCTAAAGAGGAATGATATTCTTCCTTTGTTCTAGATTCACTCAATCGAAGCAGCAGAGTACAACGGTGTCTGGCCCACGAGTTCATTCTCTCGATCACTCAAACTGGCCCAGGTACTCACCGGGCAGCTCAGTAACCCAATCAAGTTTGAGTACAGCAATGGCCATGTTGGAAGCATTATGGCTCCTGATTCTGTCTCAGATGATGGTCTAAACATCTACAGAGGGGTTATGAATGTGCTGGAATTAAGTATAAAGAAGACGCAGCATTCATACAGCTTACAGGAGGTGAGTTTTTTGGTTTGGTCATTATGGTGGCTTTGTAAATAAATAAGCCTTCTCTTCAGATTCTTCTACCACATTTTCTGAATTCATCCTTGACAGAAACTTCACTAACAAGGAACACCTAGGCTTGGCGAATCATGTTTAAGTTCTTCTTATGGGACAATATTTGATGGAGATGTAGCTAAACATGACAACAGAATAACACATTTTTAATCTGATTGATGAAATTATTTCAGAAAATGCATTTGCAGTATTAGACTCTTAGAAAATCTTGCCTGTGATTTTAGAAAAAGTAAACTTCTGGGAAAACTAAAGCCTACATAAAATGTGAACACTGTATTAAAACAAGCTTAAACATACAGTGTAAGATTAAAATTAAAATAACAGTAATTTGACTTAATCATGTCTTCTAGCTTCACTACTAGGTGGAAACCAGTATATATGTCATGACATTACTGTAGTAGCTTTGACAGTTGCAGTCGATGGTCTGTTGGAATTTTCAGTTTTTCAGGCTTTAATATATTAGTCAAGGTAAATCATCTGATATTATTACTCACCACAGAAATTGCAATGAGTTTAGTTTTTGCAAAACCATATTTACATTGATTAGACTACATTCAATTCAGAGATCAGCAAAAGCCTTGAAATTATTATACTTTCATGTTGTTTTTATTGAAAATGTAGACCAGGGTAACTTTCTATTTTGTTTAAATTTATTTTTATGTAAGTAGAGCTGTTTCTGGGATATAAACTACATGATTTAACATTTTTACGCTGTTTGGTGCACATAAAAATCTGGGGGGCTGTGTTGCATATTCCTCAGCACTATTTTCCCATAACCAGTTTCACATCTTAATTCTTTCTAATTCAGTTAGCAATGTGTCCTGCTCTCAGTGCTAGTCAATAGATGTGACTTCACTTCCTAGAATCATTTCCAAGTTTTCTTTGCTTTTCTCAGACAGCAACTGATTAATGAGCTTTGGCATCCTTGCTTGACAATCTTGAGTCACTCTAAAAAAGAAGATAAGCATGGTTAGTCCCAAATTCTGAGCTGCAGATAGGTTTAAGGGACCAACCTGGGAAAGTCCACATCCCATCCTGTGGGTGCAGGGTAAGGGTATCTGAGCTAGCTGTGAACTGCACATAGCCAGAAACCCCAGCTAGGCAGGAGTCTAATTCATCCCACTGAACCCTCTGGGCTAGACATTCCCATTTAAAGTCTGGATGTCTCTACCATGCCCTGCAGTCCGCAGAGTAGCCCCACACCTCTATTTGCAGAGTACAAATCTTCAAGAAAGCTCAGGCAATTCTTATTTCTAGCCCTTACCAAAGACACCGAGTATCTAGGAATTCTGTTAAGCTAAAGATGAAGTAGGTATGTCTTACCTCCTAACAACCACATGACCATTTCACTGTTCTGACATAGCCCAGAGCTGGTCTCTGCACTGACTGTGCTATCAATAACAATAAAAAAATATCATGAAAATAACTCTTCCCCCTAAAATGCAATCAAATACTTTTCCTCTCCAAAAATCTCACTGACTGAGGAGATTTAAGAGCTCTTATAAATGTATGTACTCAAAATATTATTGAAGAGCTCAGCTAAAACTGCTAACTCAAGAAAATCCACAATCAAAATTCTGCTATCCTGAAATTCTTTTCAATTATTGCTGTTCATATTTTGGCAGATCTGATATTGCACGGTCTGTTCCACAGTCATTTATAAGCTCTCTATAAAAGCAAGTTTGAAGGGCAGAATGTCATCTCCAACCCTGAAATATTTTGCTGTTGAGATTTTATTCTGATTGATCAAATTCTTTTGATGTTTTTATTAATATTCCTCAAATCATATTTCATAATCAACAGTTCTTATTGAAAATTGTTACTCCCCTTTCCTGAGGCTCCAAGTGAAACTCTTGGGAATTCTAGTTCTCTCAGTGCAACTCTGATTTGGCTTACTGGAAACTTGTACATGTAAAAAAAGACATGAATGTAATGGTCATTCTGATTTTCTTCTGGATAGTACCAAGAATAAAAAATTTGTTCATCTTCATTAGTAGTTTTGAAAATACAGAATTAAACAGGAAATTCCATCTGGTGAGTTGAAGCCCTGTGTAAGAGTGAACTACTCTGATCCTGTTCTCAATTTTCCCAGGCTGGGATTGGAGGTATTTGTAACACAACATATGCAATTCAGGAAAACAAGAGAGCAAACATAGTCTATGTGACCAAATCCAAGGACCTGAACAGTTGTGAAGAGAAAGTTCAAATTGTCACAGGTTCAGCGTACACTCAACCATGTCAGACCTGCCAGCAGGTAAAGTGGTATTATGCATGTGTATTTTATATTCTTATGCAGAACATTTGATATCCACACTATCTCTTGCTTTGAAACACTTAAAACGAGGGAAAAGTCAGATCTGCTTTATCCAGTTATCAATATTTTCTTTCTGTATGAAAATCAACTCACAGAGAAGCAGAGGTGTGTGCTGCAGGCTGTCGTGTACTGCAGGTACACTTCAACTAGCTCAAACTAGCTGGCTTGGAAACCATTAATTATTAGCATGAGTTAATTCACCTACTCTGTTGAGTAAAAGAGATAGACATGATGTCCAGTTTCTGCTGTTCAAGATAGATGCTGCTGCATCTTATTATAATCCTGTCTTTGAAATAAAAAATTGTGCGGTTTATGCAGCTGCTCTCCTAAGAAAATGTGTCTCCTTCTCAAGGGAATGAACAATTACTTACATTTGGGAAAAGGAAAAAAACAGCTAACACTTCTTAGCAGTAAAAGTAATGAAGCCAGGCAGTGTGTCTGACCTCTCCCATGGAAGTGAGTATATAGAATTCACATCAACTGCTGTTATGCCCAATGAACTAAACTGCCCTGAAAAATAAGTGGGTTGAATTGGGTGATATAATAGCTTCTAGTCACAGCATTTAGAAGTTCAATGACTTTTTATTTTCTTTGTTTCTTTGCTTTTTTTCATATTATAAAGAGAAACAAGAATTCCCGGGCAACTGCTACTTACAATTACAAAATTAAATATACACGTAGTGAAGCTGTAATTACACAAGCTGATGTTGAGGAAATCCACCAGTTTTCACCCTTCAATGAGATAACAGGAGGAAATGCTATAGTAGAAGCAAGGTACTGTACATATGCCTTTAATTCAGAAACTAACTCAGCAACTCAGTAATCTAGTCAAACTCTGTAAGAGAAATAAATCCTTTACTTCCACAGCCTATTGTTTGCAGTATATAATTACATAAAATCCCAAACAGTTCATAAAAGCAACCTTCGCTGTAAGTAGTAAAGCTGAAACATGCACATCCACTATCCAAATTTTGTTAGCTAAACTTGGCAGGGTTTGACTATTTTATTTCTCAGGGATATTTGATTTATGTCATAGAAGCCAAAACAAATGTAATTCCATCTGAAAAATCATGAGCTATTTGAAAGACAGTTACTCACTGAAAGAGAGTTCCCTGGAAAATAATAATGCAATAAGAGACCCTGGAGAGTAGTTCACAAGAAACCTAGATAGGACTTTGGATTCCTAAATACAGTGGGCTGCTTGCAAATCTCCATCAAAACTGTTTCATGGTAGGAAATTGGGTTTTATTGCAAAACAATTGGGTACAAGGCATGTAAAATGTATTTGCTTTTCCACAGCAAATTTTGCATATTTCTCAAACAAGTTTGGGGCAAAAAAAGGATATGGTTGTCTAAGAAATTATGTCCCTGATCATTATTACCTCAAGCACACGAACTTTCAGTGTTTAAAATTTTTTTCACCTATACCATAATCCTTTATTGAAAAAATATTTTTGTTACCTAGTTCATTATGGAATCTGTATATAGGATTGTCCTACTGAAGGTAGAGGTTTTTTGCAAAAAGGTCACTGTGCAGAAGACATACCTCAATCCCACTCATCTGCTGTAATCTTGCATTGCTCCATTAGCTACTGAAAGAATCTATTGGTATAATATGCAGTTTTGGAAACTGCAACGTCAAAAACTCCATGTCAATAACTCATTGATTAACTTAATTAATATGATGAATATGTTCAATTTGGTTAAACAAAAAAATACAGTAAAGGTGAAAGTGATTATCTTAGGCAATCAAGATGTAGGTAGACACAACACCAGTGCTTTTACCAATTTATATGTTGTTGTGAGTCAGCTTTAGTCTGGAGACAATGGACTTATGATGCTTTAAACTCTCCTTCTGCAGACTGCAGAGATTGTCTTCCATAAGGAAGATGCATTTTGTCAGCCCTTAAAAAAAGGCTTTACTTTTCCCATTTTCTCTGGATTTTATCACTGACCAGCAGAAGGGGCCAAATATAAGATAGGTGGGAACATGTGGATATCTCACTTCAGTTTTCAGAAGTTATTTCTATAATGAACTCTCTCTTAACCAAAAAAAAAAAGAAAAAATATTTCAAGGACTTAAAACACCTGAAGCTGAGTTTTCAGACCTGTTTAGCATAAGACTCTTGCAGCAACTTCCAAAGACAAGAGAGGCTTTACTAGCATTTCACTGTTTTAATCCTATCTTTAGTATTCATTTGGTCTTGGTAGTATAACATTTTCCCATCTATTCTAGGCAGATAAATCTGTTCCCAAAACAATGAAGATGAAGACATAATAAATTCATCATCATCTGGAAGGGAAAGTTAAATCTGTCCAAGTGTGCCTGATATCATACTTTCTGACCCCAAATGCCCTTTCAATAATATTGTATAAAATTTCAAGAGAGAAAAAATCTCTGCTGATTCTATAGCGATTTCTATTCAAATTCCAGTGGCTTGTCTGCAAAGTAGTTACATGCTATTTTCTGCAGCAGTTCTCTGCAATCCATATGGAAGGAGTGAATAGAAATGATACAGAAGATCATAGAGATTCCAAAATAAACACGCCAATTTTCTACAGAGATTTTGAGATACTGTGTAGTACAGCAATATTGCTTTTGGAATGTTTTCAGTTGTTTGGTACAAATGCCTAACTTTATCATAGTGTCCTAAATGACCCATTTTAAACATAACTGGTGGGATAGGATGCATGTCTTTAGCTGAAAATGTAGCAAAGATATCAAATGCTTACAAAGACTGTCTCCCATTGGACTTAATAACAAAGGATGAAGGTTTGTTGCTTCTTGAAAAGTTTCCAAAAGCTTGAGCACTTTTCCAAAGATTAATCCTGAATTTATCTGGCCCTTTCTGTTTGGTAAATCCAATTTGAAATTTCATGAGAACCTTTTGTCTTCTGCAGTCCCCAGGATATTCATCTCACCAGACAAAATGGTGAGGGAATTGTAATAGTGCAAGTAAAAACATCATAGCATTTCTTACTGTAGCTAAAAAATTTCAATTCCTTTTGAAGCTTCCAGGAGACAGACACACATAACAGCTTTTATGAACTTCTTAAAAGGTTTAAATTAAATGATAATTTCTAAAAACTTTTCCCATCTCTGTTTTTCTGTAATCCTTAATTTGCTCCTTAAAACACAACACACAATTCCTGTGATGATCTTCAGGCCACAACTTCTCATCTCCCTCTTTTTCCTTAAATTCTCAAGCCAGGTTATTCCCAAAGGAAGGCAAAGGCTGGCTCTGATCTGAGCCCTGCTGCACAAGTGCACATCTTCTCAGAGTACAGTTCTAAGCATCATGTCTAAATGCATCCGTTTTTAAATATCTGTGTCCCTTAATAACAAAACCCTTTTGAAACAACTGTAGTTGCATTGCAATGCTGGGAAGCAGAATTACTCTTCCCTTTTAGTTTGTACCCTGCAACTTATGATGCTGTCTTCCTGGGGGTCTCCATTCCAGGCAAAAACTTGTGTTGACTGATGTGCAGAAGCAGAGGACAGAGGTCCCACCAAAAGAATACCAGAATCGTGGGTCACTTCAGTATGAGTTTGGCAGTGAATTGCTTCAGCTTCCTGTCCACTTATTCAAAATAAAAGATGTGGAAAGTCAGGTAAAGTTCAACCACTGGACAGACTCTTTATTGGGGATTGGAATCTGTGCATGCAGGAAATGATGCGTGTGAGCTCCCTGCATTTTTGCCTTTCTGCAGATAGAGGAAAGCTTGCAAGACTTAGTAGAGGCTAGTTCTGACCAACTTCCCAGTGATGCACCAGCAAAAGCCCTCAAGCTTATGCACCTCTTCCGTGCAGCAAATGAGGAGAATTATGAGTCGGTGTGGAAGCAGTTCTCTACTCGGCCAGCATACAGGTACAAGCAATACAAGTGATGCTTCTTCTGCTGATAAACTCTGTTGAAGACCCTCTGGAACACCTATGTTCAAAGGCAGATCTGGAAAATGCTCCTTGCCTTTCCCTTTACAGGCGTTACATTTTGGATATAATTCCTGCAGTTGCCAGTCACCGTGCACTCAGGTTCCTACGGCATAAAATGGAAAAACAGGAGCTCACCAGCTGGGAAGCAGCTCAGACAGTGCTTGTGGCTCTGCACTCAAGCACACCAACTCGGGACGTGATGGAGGAAGCAATGGTAGGATTCTCTAAACACTCTCAAATCGCTCTTTGCTGATTCTAACATCTGTTGTATTTATTCCTTTGACACAATAGTAAAGGCTTTGAAAATATAAGGGTTTTATACCCTCCAGTGAGGTTGAAAGGACTTTGTTTCCTGACTGTCTTAAGGGGAGGAGAATGGAAATCAAAAGGGCAAAAATGAGTCCAGAATGAAACAGGAAAGAAAGCATAAAATACCCCTCAGGGACGGAGGTTATTGCTGCAAACAGTGGCTTCTAATCTCCCTTTTTCCAAATGTACTTTATAGTTGCATCAGATTAGATCTCTGACTGTCTACAAAGACAAGGGAGCAAGAAATGCATATTTGTTATATCCATGTATTCATCCTGATTGACCTAGAAGGATGGGTACAAATTGGAGAAGATCTGTCAAAATCAAGAGAATTATGCCAATGTGAAGCCCATGTAGGAGAAAGTCTAATTATTTTTACAATTTTTTCTTTATCTGCAGGGTTTAATTATAACTTCAGTCGCAAGAACTTATCTCTGCCTACCCTAGGTGGAGACCGTGAATCTCAGACTAGTTTTGTCCTCAGTGAAAGCCATGACAGCCTGACTGTTACTGTGTGGTGATGCTGTGCTTCCCACACTAGAAAGAAGTGGGCTGATGCCTCCTGTCAGCTCCTACATTTATACAAAATATTCCTGTCTGCCCAAAGTACTGAGGTCCAGTCACAGCACATCTCAAGTTTGTTGCACCTATCGCTGAGGCAATCATAAAACACTATGAATGATTTTTGAATAATGTGTGGTTTTCCATTCCGTAACTTGGTGATTTCCTCCCTTTGGGTTATAGCCTCTGCCAAATTTAAATCTGAAACACTATAAAAGCAACAGATCTGCCTTCCAGATGTTACTTGGAATTGCTTTATAATTTCATTGTCAAATACAGGAATATCCACTGATTAACTGAAAATCCATCAGTACAAAAATATCAAAAGCCTGGTTTTGTCTTGTATTGGCCAAAAACATATTTTTAATACTTTTTCTATTCATTAATGTTAGTAACAACCACTTTCTCCCCAGCTCATTGTTAAAAAACATTGCCCACGCTCAAGCACTGTGCTTGGAAAGGTTTGCCATCTCAGCTATGCATCACTGTGCCACAAACAGTGCTCTTCATCAGATTCCTGCTCCGAATGTCTCCAGGTAATCACATTGTTATTTATCATTTAAAAGAAAAATTAAGCCTTGAGTTCTTTCTTCATTATTCAGAAAGCTGTATTTCACTTCACTACAGCGTTTCCTTTGGGGAAAAGAACCCCGGTTGGTTAAATACAGCATTTTTATCTTTAGATTAGCACACGAAAGACAGTGAGAGGAAGAAGCATATAATTCATAGCACTTTCTTTCTGAGTATCTCTGAGTGCTTTATTGTCGATTATTAATGAAGTCCCATGGCATTGCTCAAAAATACTTTAAATATAGGTACTTATCTATACTTATAAATCAACTAAATGACACAAAAGCCCAGGTTTTTGCCTGAAGTCATGTAGCCCAGCCATTTCTCAGCCAGAAGCAGAGCCCAGTCATCCACATAGGGTATAAGCTTTTAATAATAGTAATACCCTTCCTGTTCTGCACTACTTTTAATCAGCAGGCCTCAAAACAATTACAGGAATAACATTTCCCAGTTCAAAAGATGCATGTCGTGGTTTACAGAGGCCAGCCACTCAAACA